GTGGCATTGGGGAGAGGTAATTTACAAGAAGGTGAGAGAAGGAAATGTTTGGTAAGCAAAAATTGCCCTGCTTGCAGATAAAACTCTCAGGTAAAAATGTTATATCTGGTAAAGCTCTCTTCCTGGTAGAGGCCCCCTTTCTAATGTAAATTTTCTTTATAAATGTAGATTTCCCTTACAAAAGGGTAGTTTCTATTCTGCTTTCAGAGCTTCTGCTGTGTTTGCAGTTTCTGGAAAAAAATCAACTCAAAATAACTCATATGCCAAAGAGAGATACATTAGGGTGGCATATTCAGCTATCTGTCAGCACCAAGATCTTATTGATTATAGACCAATGTGATTTCACTTCTTTTACAATGAGAAATATACTAACCATCACCTCCTGAGCTGCCACTGTGTGTGAAGCTTTAGATTCATGACAGTTCGCACATTATCTCATTTTATTCAACCCTCCAAATACCCTATGAGGAAGGATTAGCCCCATTTTACAGATGAGGAAAATGAGGCTCAAAGAAGTTAAGTAACTTGTCTAAGATGGTTTCCATGCCCAAGGCATGGAACCAAAATTTAAATTCAGCTCTGACTTCCAAATCTACTTCTCCTTGATTACAAACACATACTTGTGATTTATCTCTTGCTGTCAAATGACAAAATAATACAATTTGGTAACGAGTTTGATGGCCTTTATTCAAAGGAAAACAGTCCATGGATTGGTGGAGCACAGTGCCTTGCAAGCAGCAGAGCACTCTTCCTGAGAGATTTTGGGCAGGAGCAAGTTCTATAGCACATTAGAAGAGGAAGGCAGAAATGGCATTATTGGCTAGGAGGTCAGGGATTGTCTTTTAAGGTGAGCAGGTCCTATTTTCTAGGGGAAGGTAGGCTAGCTAAACTGAATTGGAGGATTGTGTTGGTGTAAATTAGGTTTCCTTGACAGTGCAGGCTGACTTAGGTTTAGATTTGTGACGTGGGACAGGCCACTGCGGCAGCCTCCATTTTGTGGGTCCTGATATACAAATTAACTGTATCATGCCCCTAAACAGTATACAACTCAAAACCTGAGCTAAATGGAAAAAACAACAAACAAACAAAATACTCTCTAGGCTCAGAAACCCAAATCCTATCTGTTAGCATTATACTTTGGACTTGCCTCTTTCTCTTTCAACGTGGTCTACACCAGGGGTTGGCAAACAATGGATCACAAACCATAGTTTGGCTCCTGAGTTAGGAATGTTTTTTACATGTTGTGGTATTGTGATTTATAATTAGAAATATATATCTGGTCTTCATCCCCATTTCTGGCACAGAACTCCAAAAGCCCTAGGAGTTTCCTAAGTGACAAGAGCACTGGGAGAATCTTTCGTTAAAATATTTGGTCTTTGGTGCTTGGTTCCTGAAATAGCTCCAGAGCCATGAGAATAAAAGGAATGTCTTGTTATTCATAACAAGCCCCTTTTAACCAATACCTGTGTTTAAGTTAATGGGGTGACTTTTGGAAAGCCCCTAAGGGTGGGGGCTGGTTGCAGGGGAACCCAGCGTATGATTAGAAGGTTGAAACTTTCAGTCCCACCCCCAACCTCCCAGGAGAGGAGAGGAGCTGGAGGTGGAATCAATCACCAATGAATGGCCAATGACTTAATCAGTCATACCTACGTGGTGAAGCCTCCATAAAAATCCAAAAGGACAGAGTTCAGAAAGCTTCTCCGTTGGTGAATACATGAAGTAGGAAGGGGGACACGCTCAGAGAGAGCCTGGAAGCTCCATACCCCTTCCCACATACTTTGCCCTATGCATCTCTTCCATCAGCCTATTTCTGAGTTATATCCTTTTATGATAAACTGATAATCTAGTAAGTAAAACATTTTCCTGGGTTCTCTGTGCCGCTCCAGTGAATTAATCCAACCAGAGGAGGGGGTCATGAGAACCTCCGGGTTACACCAGGTTGGTTAGAAGCAACCTGAACTTGAGACTGGCATATGAAGTGGGGGAAGAGGCAGTCTTGTAGGACTGAGCCCTTAACTTGTGGGATCTGACATTATCTCCAGGTAGATCGTGTCAGAACTGAACTGAATTGTAGGACACCAAGCTGGTGTCACAGAATTACTTGACTTGTAGGAAGCCTAGTGTCGGAAGTGAAATATTCTGTGAGTAGAGCTTTTGAGAGCAGACACACAGGAGGAGTGTTTTCCTTTACATATTTATACAACTGAAAAAAATCAAAAGAATATTCCTTGACACATGAAAATTACATTAAATTCAGATTTCTGCATCCATAAATAATTTTGTTGGAACACAGCCATGCTATTATTAGCGTCCGTACTGTTTATGATTGCTTTCACACTATGACAAAACTGATAGCTGTGAAAGAGATGGCTCACAAAGCAAAAAATATGTAGTATTTGGCTGTTCACAGAAAACGTTTGTCAAACCTTGGTCTATGGTCCTTGACCAGATTCAGAGCTCCCATTGTATCTCCCTAACTAAACAGTCTTTCAGTATCAGCCCATGGCCTGCTTAGCTCTTTATAACTTTTTCATAACTGAATACAGAGAAATTAGATCACTTGCCCAAGCTAGCAAGGCAAGCAAAAAGCAGACACAGGATTTGAACCTGGCAGTCTCCAGAGACCCTGCTCTAAGCTGCGATGCTATATTGCCTCCCTAGGGGAACCTAGGTAACCTAGGTTACTAAGAACCTGGTAACCTCAAAGTCCACATAAAATTCTAGGTACTGTTAAAATCCTCAGACATAGTCTATCTTAAATAAGAGGTATTGCTGTAGGACAGTTCTCCCCTAAGTAGGGAGGAAAAGATAATTATTTAATGATTTTATTGGATGTGTATCACATAAAAAGCATCTCACTTAACCCTCAGAATAGCCCAGACAGGGAGGAATCATAATCCACATTTTTATAAATTAGGAAACTAAAAGCAAAAAAAGATTATTTCCTTTTAAATTCACAGATTTAGTATACCAGTGAGGTGGTGGTGGCATGTTGAAATTTATAGACTAGATGCTCAGATATGCAAAACTATAACTGGATTTCTATGTACCTGAACCAAACTAGATATCAAGCCCCATATTTCTATTCCTGGAAAGGAGGGAAATGTGACAGTGTAAGATTACTCAGCCACCACAGGTATAAAATGTAGTAGCCAAAGGTGTTCAGTTTCATTAGTCATCAGAGAAATGGAAATTAAAACCACCAAGTGATGCCCCTATCCACCATGCAGCATGAGTGAAATGAGAGTCAGGTAATACCAACTGTGGACAAGCAGCAACTAGAACTCTCATTCACTACTGGTAGGAGTGTAAATTGGTGCAACTACTTTGGAAAACTGCTTGGCAGTATGAGTGATGGGTGCTGGAGCTCACAAGAAGTGATGGTTAAATTTCCAGGAATGTTGTGAATCAGCTGATTTCACATTGGTAGCTTGAAATTGGGCAGCTGGAGTATTTACACCACAGGAACTGGCTAACATTATAAATGAGCACCCACCCTAGAGCCAGTTGTTAAACATTTACCAGCAAACCACTGGGCAATAAAGCTCCACATATATATATCCTGTGACTCAGCAAATCGATTTCTAGGTATCCACACCTTAGGAATGTGTGCAGATGTGGCCCAAAAGCCATGTACAAGAATGTTCATAGCAGCATTATTTGTAATGGCCGGAAACCCAAATATCCATAAATAGAATTGATAAATTCATGTCCATTCAATGGAATACTAAGCAGTAATAAGAAAGAACTGCTATATGCAATAACCCAGATGAATCTCACAAAATGATGGAACAAAAGGAGCCTGAACAAGGGTACATACTGTGTGATTCCTCTACATAAAAGTCAAAAAAGACCAGATTAACCTCTGATGATAAATCAGGGAGGTGGTTACTTGGTGGGGAGGAGAGCAGCAATGACTGAACAAAGGGGGGATTGTGGAGTGCTGGTATTGACCTTTTTTCCATCTAAGTGCTGGTTATTTAACTGTGTTTATTTTGTGAAAATTCATCAATAAAAGGTTTGATTTTAAAAATTAGTCACTTCCATAATTGGACAAGCAAAGGCAAAAAAAAAGGAACTTCAAATTAAATCTCATACCTTATACAAAAATTAACTAAAAATAGATATTAGATCTGAATGAAAAACATGAAACTCTAAAAAGAGAAGAAAGTCTTTATGACCCAGGGTTAGACAGAATCCTTAGACATGACACCAAAAACATAATCCAAAAAAAGTGGAAAAGTAAAAAAAAAGGTAAATTACATCTCATCAAAGTTAAATGCTTTCACTCTGCAAAATAAACTGTTAAGAGGATGAAAAGACAAGCTACAAACTGGGAGAAGATATTTGCAAATCACATCCCTAACAAAGAATATATATTTTGGTTTTGATAAATATACTTTAGTTATGTAAGATGATACTACTAGGCAAAGTTGAATATTTTTACAACTTCTTGTGAGTCTATAATTATTTCAAAACAAAAAAGATCAATTAAGGGAATTCCCTGGCAGTCCAGCGGTTAGGACTCTGTGCTTCCACTGCAGGGGGCACGGGTTTGATCCCTGGTCAGGGAACTAAGATCCACATGCCATGTGGCGTGGCAAAAAAAAAAGAAAAAGGAAAAAAAAAGACATCAGTAGTTTTACCTACCAGACTGCCTATTTTTCCACATCTTTGACCGATATTCTAAGCATATTCTAATACAACGCTAATCGGGGTGTAACTGATGAAACTTTTCTACAGGGCAACTTGGCTGAACCAGTCGAGCTCTTAGAATGTACAAGCATTTGAACAAGGAATTCCATTTCTGGAATTTTTCCTAAGAAAGTAATCAGAGATATATACAAAAATCTGCAGACAATGATTTCGTTTTTCATAGTTGCTTATAATAGTGAAAAATTAGAAAAAACCTAAATATTGGAAACAAGTATAGTTTATACTACATAGTTAGTCATATTTTGATATACCTAGAATATAGAATACAGTGTAGCCATAAGAAATTAAGCCATAGAAGAATATTTATTGACATGGGAAAATGTTAACAATATACTTCTATATGAAATATGCCAAATAGAAAACAGTATATACAGTTTAGTACCATTTTTATGGAAAGAAAAATAGCCATATATACAAAATCATGCATAGGAAAAAAATAGAAGGACGTACATACCAAATGTTAACGATAGTTATCTCTAGACAGTGGAATTACAGGTGACTATGCAATTTCTGCAATAAATTTTACCTGCCTTCGAACAGTATCTGCTTCATGCTATTCTTTCTTGGTTGTGATTAGTTTGATATAATGTCTCTTCAAATAGGTATCTATCAAATGTTTCATGATATATACCTCCAAATAATACTGCTATTCCCATATATTTCATGATATATACCTCCAAATCATACTGCTATTCCCATTACTTGCTACTTTGTAAGATTTTAAATAGACAAAATTTTAAATAGACAAAATTTTAAATAGACAAAAATTTTAAATAGACAAAATTTTAAATAGACAAATTTTAAATAGACAAATTTTAAATAGACAAAAAGATACTATAACTAGTTAGGGGTCCATAATGAAGAGTGTAAAATAACTCACGTTCCAGAACTGGAGACTTTTGGGTCTCTCCTTTTTACTATCTGACTTCGGGCAAAGGATATTAGGGTTTTTTAGTCTGGAAAATGTGGTTAATAAAAGAAAGAAGCAAAAATATTTTTTTAATAAGGGAAAATGGGATCAGAGATAAAAACGTTTTCTATAAAGACCTAAATAAATGTTGGATAAAACAGCTAAAAGGGAATTCAAATTTAGTGTTGCAGAAAAATTAACTCACATTCATTTTTCTGTAGCAGCAATTCTTACTGTTTTATATCTTCTTTCACAGGTTTTGACATGCCAAAATTGTGAAGTTATTTTAATGTTAATTAATGGTCTTTAAGGTCTTTAATTATTTTAACAGTTAATACATAAAACATACTTAATATTTTCATGGACTCTGAGGTAAGTGTTTTAAATAAATATAGGTTACAACAATTAAACACACTTACAACCAATACAGATTTTACTTCTCAAAATCCATCCTAGTGTAAAGCTGTTTACTAGATTCTTATTAAAAATACCAAGTTAGGATGTTAGATCTCTTAAAGGTCAAACATCAGAGAATAGAAAAAAATCTGTGTCCACTCTTCTCTGATGTCTTCCATGTTCCAGCACCATCCCAAATTGCTTCCTTATTTCTGTTCCCTCTCTTTGGAAGGGAATCTCAAGTAAATCTGTTACCAATTAATAATTTTTAATAATTGTTTGCAATCATTATCTAAAAGGGAACAGTTAATGACTTATATCTCATGGATAAATTTATTGTCTAGATGCCTAGAGGTAAACTGCACAACTTGCAGATGAAAGAAGGAACTTTTATAAAGCACTGATGAAAGGAAGATGGAAAAAAAGAGGGATTTTCTGTTTTTCCAATCAAAGATTTGCTCCTTCTCTCCACAAAGTCATGGAGTTGAGAAAGATAGCTGGAGGACTGTGGATGGGAAATGTGCATCACATTTACAGAACTACACAACACACTCTCACCTTACACCAGTGGTGTTCTGCCACCTCTACCCCATTCCATAAATGTTCCGTTAACCATAGCACAGCTTCTGGCATAGTTCTAATTTCTCAATGAAGATCACAAGAAAGTACTTCCAGGTTGTTAAAAGAAACCAGAATATTACACCAACACATTTCGGCGGTGGGAGGAGACTACAGGCACACCATATTTATTGCTTAACAGTACAAGAATTAAACAAAAAAAGTAGAGACTAGAAAATCACTTTTTGAAATTTCACAATCACCAATTTGCGACAGAAACTGAGGCATAATGCTTATGCTAATGAATCTGTTAGATGAATTATCACTTCAGCACATAACTGCAGATGGATACTCCTGGATTTTCACTTAATCCATCACTCCATGAGCACTATAAAATGAAAGGTGACATACTTATGAACTAAAATCACAAGAAGAAACTCTCTAAGATCAATCTTCAATGAGCCCCTATTTCAATAAGCCATACGGAGCAGTAAAAAGCAGTAAAAGGTGATATTCATTTAACAAAACGAGAATCCCAATGACAAGAAATCAGGTATTTATATTCCTCTAGAGACACTTCTTCCCCACCTAACAAAGGCACTTGACATGTAATGAAATGCACAGTTAATTCAGGTACTGCCCTGGGCAACTGTTACCTTCCTAAAATTATATGAAGTGGTGATTAACTTCAAATTAATCCTTCTGAATCAGCCTGAAACACTCAAGAAAATATCACAAGTTCTCTATTTTTGGCAGATGATACAGCCAAAGAAGAAAAGATAATATTGGTGTCCCCAATGAGTTGGCTGACTTGAATAGTCCAGGATTCTCTCTCTGCACAACATATTCCTTGATGACTGTGGGATTTGTATATGATTACAGGCAAATTAACCTTTCATACAGTTTCAGGTATTAATGTTCACTCCTCTTCTTGTCTTTTCTTACTTTTTTGTTCTTTCCCAAAGTCTTAGATGATTCCTCCTGAAAAAGACATAAATCAATGTAGTATCTTCCTACATTTATATGAAGGTACTAGCTTAGGACTTTTAAATCTAGTAATATAGAATATGTATAATAGTGAAAGTATAATTACTTCCATATGTACCATCTTTCTGTTTTACAGGGCTCTTTCATTTATAGTCTATTTTAATATTTCTGAAACAATCAAGGATAATCAAAGAAAATACTCATTTATCTCAGTTATCTAACAGATTTATGTTTGAGTAATTTCAACATTATTTATACGCTTATTTTTTTAATTATTTTTTTGTGTGCGTGTATTTTTTTTTTTTTTGGCCACACCGTGCGGCCTGTGGGATATTACTTCCCTCACCAGGGATTGAACCCATGCCTCCTGCGGTGGAAGTGCAAAGTCCTAACCACTGGACAGCCAGGGAGTTCCTCTCAATACTATTTAATCCATTGTTAATTTTCCAAAGTTTAAATAAAAGAGATATGAACATATCTGAAATACGAGACAAAAAACCTCGAAGTATAAAGGAAGAAGGCATCTAAAGGCATGCCAGGGGAAAGGGGATACACTATGACACTAACAGAGAATGTTAGAATTTTATAGCTGTTTAAAGACTATCCAGTTCACTGTAGCATTAGCTATAACTTCTATGGGTCTCAATTTTAGGGAGTGGAAACTAACTGGTCTTTAAGGTTTTTATAAAACTCCATGAATCTACAAAATTAAGGTTTGAAGAGATGAAGTGATCCTCCCAAGGTCACACAACTGGTCAATCACACTGTTCTGACTAAAACCTAAGCTTCCAGTTTCCTAGTCCAAAGGTTTTTCTAATGCACCTCACTCGTTCTGCTTCACTCTTAATTTTCGTTTTCCTTTTTCTTTTTAAATTTCACAGGCAGTGGTGAGAAACTCTCTAGATATAATATCAGTAACCACTTACTGGTGAACTTGTGTAGTTCTTCTCCACTAGAATGTTTCTGGCACAGTTGTTGATATGTTTGAAGCGATCTGGTCCTAGCAAAATCCCTCCATACCAGCGTGATACCACCACCATGACATTTCTCACATTCAAAATCTGTTATTTTCAGAAGCATAATTACATACAAATATAGACAGGTACAGATGTGAGTTTTAAAGAAAAATGAAAAAACCCATACATAAAATTGCACATAAAATTTCCCCGACTTTAATGGCAGAACCATGAGCAAGCAGAGTGCGATTTATAACAATTCAGGGGACAGAATGTTAGAATGAGAAGGGAATTTGGAAAACAAACACTGTGCTCCACAGTGTCCTTGAATTGCAAACTTGGGGACCACCAGGCAGAGTGAAGGGGAGATCATGCAGTGGGATTCCAGTTCTTGGTGACTTCAACCAGAATAGCTTAGCTTAGGCAGTTTTTTACCCCTAGGTCGAACAGCAACACAAAACCTGCTTCTGAACAAAACAGCTAGAGAGAACTGGGGCTGCATGAGTAATCACTAGTGCCTACCAGTAAGGTCTTCCTCAGTTTGACATTTGTCAAATGCTGCCCTTAACGTGAAGCCCACCAGTCTACAGGCCTGAACCCCACAGAGTTCCTATCAAGGAAAGGGCCTGGTTAGAAAACAAACCTCCACATACAATAGCAGAAGAAACTATAGCAACTACCTTAGGAAAAAAACAATCCATTCTTAAAATTAATGAACAATCAATGATCACCAGACAGATGAAGAAAATCCAGCAGCATGAAAGAGAAAGGACAAGATAAACAAACTAAAATGGACTAGGAAAAATTTAAGGAAGAAAACATCTAAAAAAAGAAACTCTAATTAGTATACCCAGAAAAATTTTAGAAGATATTGTATCCATAAAAGCAGAACAGCACACTATGAAAAGGGAAAAACAGAGAAGAAGAAAGAACTCTTGAAAATTAAATACATGGTTGCTAAAAAAATTTTAATTTGATAGAAATTTTGGAAGATGGTCAAGAAAATGTCTTAGAACATAATAAGGCAATGAGATGGACAACTTAATAAAAAAAGAAACATTCTGGATCTACCCAGAAGTCCAATATCCAACTAACAGGAGTTCTGCAAAGACAGAACAGAGAAAATAGAGGAGAGGAAATTGTCATGAAACAAAAAGGATGTTTTTCCAGAGCTGAAGATAATCTTCTATTGTCTACGACTGAAAGAGCTTGAAAGCACAGCACTCGTTATTAACCTCTTGCTTTCTGCCCCACATCCAGTGGTTAAAATTATCTCTCTATCGATGTTCAAAAACTAACTACTAATAAAACCAAATTATCTCATGTTATATAGGCTAACTGATTTACTTATTCCTAAATGGAATTTAGGAATGAATTTTGTTGAGAAATTTTATGGTTCACAGAACAGAATTAACAGGGTTTAACTCACACTTACCTCCATGAGGTGGAGAAGACGCCCCCCAGCTGCTGTTTCCCCGTCATCCTCACAGTCCTGTAAGAAGGTCTGTTTATCCTCACAATATATTCTAGAAATACACGTGACAGTGTTACACTTTAAAACCTTGAAATATTGTATTCAATAATAAAAGTTACTCCTTCATATTTGTTGCCATCAATTTATTTCCAAAATCAGCATTACTTGTTTTAAAAAAATCTTTCTTGAACTATAAATTAGCTATATTTTCACTGACGATTTCCTATCCAGTATGCTTCACTTTTTATATTCTGGAAAGCTAGGAATCAAGGGTACCTCCTTTAAATCAGAAATGCTATAATTATGGGAAGGTGAATTTACACATCTGACACTTCCTCCACTTCATTTAATCTTGAAGCTGAGATTATAGAGAATAATCACTAAAAAACGTTTACTGAGAATAAACTGTATATAAGCATTATAGGCACATAATAGGCGCTATGAAATGGTATAAAAGAAATAAGTGGTGTACTCCTGTCATCAAAGAGCCTAAACTCCAGTGAAAGAGAAAAAAAGTATAAAAAGATGGAGGTGATAAAACCAACATTAAGTTAATATTTTATACTTTCCTAACATCTTATTCTAGCTGCCAAGCATTTATCTATCTTCCCCATTCTAAGAATTATAAGATTTATTTTTCTCTGTAATTTCCCCCTGGATAGTTATCAATATCAGAGATAAATCATGGTATTTTTACCCATTTCAATTATCTAGAAAGTTAGCACGGGCTACATTGCAGATGAGTAAGCTTGGCAAATAAGTGTGAGTTATAAAAAGAAAACAGTGCCAGTTAAGGTATGCCATCTAGTGCATTTTTTAGGCCCTTACAAATGGTACCATCTAGGACTAGGCAAATATAGCAAAGATATCTTTCCAGTTACGGTGATAAAAAGCCAAATATTACCTTATCTATACTCCTAAGTCAATTATATTAATTTTATTATAGCAATCCTATTCATTCATTCATCTTCCCATCTACTCATTCATTCACTCAGTATATATTTACTGCCCACCTACTATGACCAAGCTCTACTATTATTTAGAGTTGGCCTCATTTGAAGAAAAGAAAGTTAGTACTATTAAACAAAATTTTATATGGCAAATTTAAGGCAAAAAGGATTCCGGGGTTGACTTTATAGAACAAATGAAGAAATCTGACTATATAAATCAGTACTGTTAGGTTTAAAAAAAAAGGAAATACCATGGACATTTTCACTAACCCTTTCCTCACATGCCAGGAAGATAATGATGCAGCATCCGATAGCTGTGTGTACGAGTAGCCTGAAGAGTGCCCCATAACTCCAAAGCAGGAACACAGCCCCAGAACCAGGAAGTAACCTTAAAAGGACCCTAAGCATTCAAAATACACAACACAAAGTCCATGTACCAAATAAAGGTTATTTCTTTAACTCCCAGTGGAGTCCTTCAAGCCTCCACTTTATGCCTTTTTATTGTTATCTGACATACAATTCTGACAAGCTAAGCTCCTTCATTCCCAAGCATCAATTATATAAGGGGGTGAGTTGGAGGGGCTGCTACATGCAGTCATGCTGACATCTGTAAGAAGTGACAGCTGATCACCCATTAATAAGCAAAAATACTCAAGTACTTAAAAAAACAAAAATCTGGGGCCTGAAATAGAGTATCCGGCACATTATTTAACTTTTTGATAACTTAAGATCAGTATCATGTCCAGCAACTGTTGAAGGTGCAGCCAATGTGGCCATGTAGGAATAAGATAGAGATAAATGAAATTAGATTCTCAAATTCAGCTCTACCACTTAACGACTATGTGATCTTGAAAAAGTTAACCTTTTTACAGTGGCACAGTTGCTGAAATAATTAGATTTAACTTATGTAAAGCACATGACACAGAGTAGGCCCTCAACAAACACGTGGGACGAATGAATAGTACCTATCAATACTTTTACAGCACATTCTAATCACTGAGACCAAGCACAGTCTAATCCCTCATTTTTATACTGATGACCCTAACTCACTAAGGAAAACCCAAAATTCTGTGTAGTGATACTCTAATAATAAATAGTTTTTTGGGTAAGATTGGGCACTTAAAGGGATGTGACTTAGTAATATTAAAAACTCACCTATCCAAAGTGATAAATATTTTTGAGATTTTTGAGTTTTAGATAGCCTAGATTTTACAAATAGTCTGAATCACATTTTAAATTTGCACCAAATTCCTATGTCTACATTCTGATTTATTTTAGTCCTAAACTATGTTCTGTAAGTCTGTACTAATCTGCATATTTAAAAAATATACCCTTCATCTCTTTACTAACAAATCAGCAGATTTCTATAAAACCTTCGTACTCAAAACTAAAAGACATGTAGTGAAAGAAGCAGTCTTAATTCACTGAATAAATTGGTTTAAAAGAAAAACGTTAGAAAAAATTTGGCAGTATGTATCAAGAGTTTCAAAAATGTTCATACTTTTTGATAATTCTACTTCTAGGAATCTATTCCTTTTTCCTTTTTGATTATACTTCTGTTTCATTTCAAAAAACAGTATGAAACAACCAGAAGCTATCCTGAGGAAATAATGCAAAAAGTACACAAAGATGTTCACGGGACTATTCTTTATAATACTTAGAAAAAATGAAAAACTAAAACAAAAAGGAAATGGTTAAATAAATTGTGGTATGGAGCCTCAAACAAATATTATACAGCCATTAAAATAATGTTTATAAAGCAATTATAACAACATGGAAAAATGCTTTTGTTACACTAAGGAAAAATTTTGATATTAGAATAAAGCATTGAAAAGAATAAAAAAGAAAATATTTCACAATATCAGTTGCACTTAATGGCAGAAAATGGTTAACTTTTCCTCTGATTTTTTTTCTGCCATTTCCAAATATTCCACACATGATTATTACTTTTACAGTGGAAAAAAACCACATAATAGTTGTTGCTTTTTTAAATCATGCATCAGTTTTCCCCATTTTTTTTTTTAATATTTATTTATTTGGTTGCACTGGGTTTTACTTGTGGTAGGCAGGCTCCTTAGTTGCGGCTCGCTGGCTTGTTAGTTGTGGCATGTGAACTCCCAATTGAGGCATGCATGTGGGATCTAGTTCCCTGAGCAGGGATTGAACCCAGGCCCCCTGCATTGGGAGCGCAGAGTCTTAACCACTGCGCCACCAGGGAAGTCCCTTCCCCCAATTTTTACAAAGCACATTCCTAAAATTGTGATGATCACTTACCGGTATGCATAGATGTTGTGGGTGGCACTAGCAATTTTCTTATTCTCATACAATTTGGCAAGAACCATTTTCACCTTAAAAACAGCAGTAATGTAAATAAACTAATGTATACTTTTTATTTGCTCTGTAAATAAATGCTAAAAAAAACCCTTAAAGCATATTGATATACTATTGTAGTGAAATTAACAAGAGTTATTTAAAGACTCAACTACATTCTGAAAAAGCCATTTCCAAAGTTTTCTCCTCATTTTAGGGGCAAAAACTGGTTCTCTAATTGGTACAAAAATGATAGACCTGGTATTTTTGACCACCAGTTATCAACAAATATCTGAGCAGTAACCATGTCCAAGGTACTTGTACATAAGAAAATTTCCCCATACTGTATAGAGAAATTTAAACGAAAATATAAGAATTTCTAGAAATGAGCTCTGAAAACTTACCAAAGTGACAGGTACAGAATAATGGTATGTTCTAAATGTTATAAAACCAAAACTCTCTCTGGGAGTCAAATAAGGTTCATAGAGGAGGTAACAAGAGCCAGGTCTTGAAAGATAAGTGACAGTTCTGCATCAAAATGTAAGAGTGGGGTGGGGCAAGAAGAAGCCATTCCACTTAGAGGAAACAGCACGTACAAACATACCAGATTTAGTAAGCAGAAATAAACGATGCTTAGTTAAATTGGAACTTCAGATAAACCACAAATTTTTAAATTATAAGTATGGCCTATGCAATAATGTTTATCTGAAATTCCAATTTTAGCTAGCTATTTTGTATTTTATCTGTCAACCTTAGCAGGGACATAAAAGAGAAAGATTCAGGAAGTGACCAATAGTTTTATGTAGCTCTACCTCAGAGTATGAATGAAATGATAGAAGATGTATCAGAATGATTAAAGTAGGGTCTTATCACAAAGGGCCTTGTATAATGTGTTTAGATTTTTTCCTTGTAGCCAATGGAAATCAGCAAAGATTACTGGGTATGTGGGGGAGGAGTGACACGTGGTCAGATCTTTTAGAAAGGTAGTTGGCAAGGGGCACAGAAGAAATACTGGAGGTAAGGAAGACCAAGCTGGAGATACAGAGACCAATTTGGATCAGAAATTGTGCAATCTTGTGCTTCTCAGACTCCCAGATTCCTGATTAATAAAGTAGACACTGACCTCTCAGATTTATTTCAGCTCTCACAAATTATGATCCTGTAAGTCTAAGTGACTATAATCAGAAATGGAAAAAGGATCCAGTATGGAGAGATTCAGAATGGAATGTCTAAGGAGGACCCTGGCAACAAGATTATGAGCAATGGCCAAGGGCAAAATAGGGTTCCTGAGAGAAAAGCCCAGAAGCTTGCACCAAAATCTGTTATTTTGACCACAAATCAATGAAGGAAAGAACTTCCTCTTCCAGAGACTAAAAGAGAGTGAAAAGGCAGCCTGGTGCAAAAAACTGTATTCCTATAGTTCAGGGCTTTAGAAGAATTTGGAGAGACCAAAGGGAAGAGACCAATGCTTAAAACCTATGCTAAGCTAGTTAGACTTTTCTGGTTAATTTAACTTTATAGGTGTACTGAAATTGTCTCTTACATTAATAAAGTTTAGGCTAGATTATAGCAGCAAGGAAGAAGAAAATGATTCTGCTGAAAAGAGACTGAGAAAGACAAAGACCTAGGAATACTATTTTTGACTGAAGATTTTCCCATATAATATCCTTTGGTGGATATCAGGCCACCTAAAATCAGGAAGCAGAAAGGAAAAGGAATTCAGGTTGGGAAGATTGGGCTCAACCACTCTGTCCACTGTCCCCTTACTTGGGCAACAATAGAACAGGCTAGGTTTTATAGAACTCCCACATGATAAGACAAATAATTTTTCAACAAGCTATTGATATTAAGCATCATAATTTTCTACACCACCACAATGGGTTTTTCTTCTTTGAAAATCCATTGGAGAGTTAAGCCCTAATCAGAGTCTGGCTACAATTTTGAAAGCAGTGATAAACAAAAACAAATGTTCTATGATTCCCAATAATTTGGAGGTAGAAAATTAGCAAATAATTTTTATCTTGCATGAAAATTAAATGTAATAGTATAAACAAAGATATTATTGCAAAACCATTTGCTTGAATTACTTTGGTAAAACAACATCAAAGTGAACTGGACACAGTAAGTTTACCTGTTTGGGACAAACTACTGGAGCCAAGTGTGCCTGAAAAGTACTTCTTCGGTCTGTGATAGGAATGCCATGATCAATCGGAGGTAATTCTTCTATTTCTATAAATTTAAAGAATTATATTACTTTTATTTTTTAAATTCTTACATTCAAATACTGAAAAATTGGCAATGGTATAGTGGGGGGAGTTGGGAGAGAGATGTAAATTATATGGCAAATCAACTCAAATAACAAATACTTGTTGTCTATTAAAATTAAATTATAATTTTAAGTAAAAAGTTTCCTAATATATTGTACATTAAGATAAAACTACTTGACTTATAAATGATTTTCACCTGCTAAGGTCACCCAGTGGTAATGGTACGTTGGGACTCAAATCCTGGAGTTGTTTCAGTTGTATAAGTTGATATAACATCTAATTTTTAAGAGTACAAAGAGGTCCTGAGACCAAAAAGATTGACAGCTGCTAATATGGAGTATTTATTCATTTTACTGCTGATGGACCTCTGGGTTGGGAAATCTATGACTTTATTTTGTATAGCTGTAATATAATGTCTTCTGCTAATAAAACTGTTCCTACTTCATAGGATTGAATTAAATGTATCAATAGTACACCAAATTGGTATTCCATCGAGTACTGTGATTTCCAGTTATTCTGGAAACCATTAATTTTACCCTTAACTTAGATGAGAAACTTACCAACCATCCTAGCTGCTGCACCTGCCTCATTTAGGATGAAAAGTTATTCAGAAAAAAAGAATTTAATTTTTTTCTATTTCTATTCACTGATCTGTTGAATCTTACCAAGTCAGTTTGCTTTATAAGTGATGAAACACTTCAAGTAACATGTGTAAAAATATTTCTGGAGCACTTTAAATAACTTGCCAAAAATCACTGCACTGGTTTGTGGCAGGACATGGCGAGAAGCCAGGTTTACGCAGGATGTTCTTCCTTCCCCCAGTAGTGTTCTCTTCTTGAACAGACTGTGACCGCTGCACTAGTACACTACTAAGGTCAATAGGAACTGGATGCGATTTATTATGACTACCATTTTCACTCTTTTTCTTTTAATAGTGGATCTTCTTTCCCAAAAGACATCCTATGCCAAATCTGCAAATATGTGTATGAATAAAATGGGAACTACTTAGAGTGAAACAAGAGCAGGTATACTGGGTGTTCTTCCCCACTCATTCACAGCTTCTTTGTCCCCTTCCACTAATACTGAGACACTATACAAGAACTTTAAATTTTCATTTACTGTTTAAAAGCTACTGTATAATGGCATAGGGAACTCCCTACCTTCAAAGAGAATGAACATTCCCTCTGGTCTATCTTGTTTTTGTAAGAGACTTGAGGAAACTGACTGTATCATTCAAAATTTTAAAATACTAAAATGGAACATACTTTCTGATAGAAATATAGAGCTGATTTATCACATCAACCTATCCATAAGCTGAATACTACTTTATCATGGAACAAATTTGCTTAAGCAAAAACTAAAATCCTAAAGGCATTTCACTAGCTTTAATTCAGTGGTTGTACCTTCAATTATTGTATTTATATTTGTGAGCAAAGACTAAAATTTAACTCTGAGCTATCAGTAGACAGCTAAGGATTTCAAAGTAAAAATATAAAAGCAGGATGTGAACTGAAAATATTAACACAGCTTTTCTTAGTTTCAGTTTCTCTCACCACTAATTCAAAACTCCAGATAAATAGCAAAAAAAAAGAAAAAAGTAAATTTCTATTTTTTTCCTCACCATTCTGATAGACCTAGCAAACACCAAAATGGCCAGGAGACAGGAAAAAAAATAACCCAATTCTCTACAAATTAATAAGAATTTCCTAAAATGTGAGTTTACTAAATTTCTATACCATTCCAAATGGTATAGAAATTCCATTCATAATGCTACCATTCCGCTTTCCTCAAAATAAACTAATAACATTATACCTGTTTGATTTTCACTGACATCAAAATCCAATGCTTTAACTGGATTTTCTGGTTGACATGCTAAAATGAGATCATCTTCACATTCAATATCTTCCTCTTCAGTTTTCTTCTTTACGTCTGGGCCTATGTGGATATGAGACATGATGAGTGATCATAGACAGTAAGAAATTACACTTAAAAAACCATTAGTCTTGGTCTCTAGACACCAGTCTTCAACAGAAGGAACCAGGGCTCCTACAAGAAGTGGTTGACTTCAGGGTTGGGACAAGGAAAATACAAGATGATCCTGGAATATCTTGTGATTCCAGAGTAAAGAAATGTTCAAAAAACAATGGAAGCTTATAAAAAGAACACAGGAGCCTACCTGAGAGCTCTCCTAAAGGCCAAACCTGGTACAATTTGAGCAACAAAATAATGACAGTATGGAATTTTAACTCACGAAATAAAATAATATGAGTTCATACTAATGTAAGTAATCAAATAAATGTGGAAAAGAGACATCTTGTTCTCAGAATTCCAATTAATCACAGCAAGAAGGAAATGAAAGTCACCATATTGTTACAACACCATATTGTTTACAAATACTGTTGATAAGATACACTAATGGATACTAAAATCAGTAGGTTAAAGTTTAAGGAGGAATAGGGTATTAGCATAGCCTCAAAGTATCTCCCCCAAGATACTTATCAACTACAAAGGGAAAGACAGTAACTGGTAATTTTATATGTCAACCTGGCTAGGCCATGGTACACAGATATTTGGTCAAACACTATTCTAGATGTTTCTGTAAAGGTATTTCTTGGATGGAATTCACATTCAAATCAGTTGACTTTGGATAAAGCAGATTGCCCTCCATAATGCAAGTGAGACTCCAGTTAAGATCTTAAAAGAAAAAGGACTGACCTCCCCAGAGGAGGAGGGAATTCTGCCAACATACAGCCTTCAGACTTGAGTTGCAGTATCATTCCTTCCCTAGGTCTCCAGGCTGTCAGCCTACCTTGCAGAGTTTGGACTTGCTAGCGTCCATAACCTCATGAGCCAATTCCTTAAAATCAATCAATCTCTCTCTCTCCCCGCCTCCCTCCCTCCTTCTCCCCCCACCCAACCATTCCTTCCCTCCTCCTCTCTCTTTATAACACACACACACACACACACACACACACATCTTATTGGCCTGTTTCTCTGGAGAATGCTTGATTAATACCGTAACTTTACAGTGGAAACATTTGGCAGATACCACCTTAACCAAGGATCAAGGTAAATATCACCATTAATAAAGCATATTGATATCATTAGCTCCTTGATATAATACACTGTGAAGGATACAATATCATTTCTGTGATATTCTTGCCAAAATGCCTAATCTTACTCCAATCGTGAGAAAACAATGGACAAATTCAAATTGAGGGACATTCCACAAAATAGTGTCAGGTCATGAAAGGTCAAAAAAGTGAAGGAAAGACCGGGGAACTATTTATAGACTAAAAGGGAGCAAGGAGAAATAACAACTAAATGCAACCAAGAATCCTAGACAGAATTCTAGAACAGCAGAAAGAACATTAGTGGAAAACTTAGTGAAATCTGAATAAGCTCTTTAGTTTAGTTAATATTATACCAATGTTTGCTTTCTGTTCTTTATAATTATAATATGCTTATGTAAGATGTTACTAGGGAAAGCAGGGTGAGGGATATAACAGAGCTATTTCTACTCTTTTTGCAACTTTTCTGTAAGTCTAAAATTAGTTCAGAATTTTTTAAAAGTATAAATAGTATACAATTACTTCAAGATTTAATATTTCTGGTGTTTTCTTGCTGGCACAGTGGTTAAAAATCCACCTGCCAGGGCTTCCCTGGTGGCTCAGTGGTTGAGAGACCGCCTGCCGATGCAGGGGACACAGGTTCGTGCCCCGGTCCCGGAGGATCCCACATGCCGCGGAGCAGCTAGGCCCGTGAGCCATGGCCGCTGGGCCTGCGCGTCCGGGGCCTGTGCTCCGCAACGGGAGAGGCCGCAACAGTGAGAGGCCTGTGTACCACCAAAAAAAAAAAAAAAAAAAAAAATCCACCTGCCAATGCAGGAGACACAGGTTCGAGCCCTGGTCCGGGAAGATCCCACATGCTGTGGAGCAACTAAGCCTGTACGCCACAACTACTGAGCCTGCGCTCTAGAGCCCGCAAGCCACAACTACTGAGTCCTCATGCCTAGAGTCCATGCTCCGCAACAAGAGAAGCCACCACAACGAGAAGCCTGTGCACCACAAGAAAGAGCAGCCCCCACTCGCCGCAATTAGAGAAAGCCCATGCACGGCAACGAAGACCCAATGCGGCCAAAAATAAATAAATAAAATTTTTAAAAATTTTATATTTCTATAGTAGAAAAAATGAAATAGTAAAGAATAAATATGTACTGAAGATTAATAGTAAAATAAAAATAAATTACTTGTCAAGTGGGTACCCTGGAGAAGAAAATTCTCATGAGATATCCTGATCACTAGCTTATACCCTTATTCATTTTTCAGAATTATTAAACCTTCCATTTTAATATGAAGTCTAGAAAATTTCTAATTAAAAACTTCTAAACAAATTTTTTTCAAATTATGAATTATACAACCTAAATCAATAACTCGAAAATTTTTAGTGTGGCTAAACTAAATTATAGATAGAGGTGGGAAAGGGAAAATACCATTTTAAGATCAATAATTAAAAAAATTTCCTAATAGTTCAGTGATTCCAAGCTTTTTGGAGTCCTAAATTTTTGCTTATTATCCCACATTTTTGCAATTATCCCACACTCTAGAATGGTGGATTGGCAAAACTCAATTTTTGTTTTGAGGTTTCAAAACCCTTCTCAGATGCCCTGAAATGCTGCAAAAATCAGAACATGAATCATAAAAAGTCAAGGAAAATACTTCAAAAAAATATTGTCCCAAGATCAGAATATCTTCAGACCATTTATATCTTTGATTTTAATGGAAACAGTAAAAACATTTGCTTCTATAGAGAAACAGTAAAATGCTCTGAAAAAATATATATTTCTATCAACTTTAAATCTATACTGATTTTGGTAAGGGAATCCTTAATAATTGGTTCCATGTAAATAACCTTCTAAAAATTAGTAAATAGACGATTGGGTTTTGTTTTTTTTTTTAATCCCCCTTCTCCCCAAATTGAAAATAATTCTATCAGTGATAATAATAAAACTCTATTTGGAAATAAAATGAGGCTTAGTAATTTTCCTCTCTAAAGGGCTATTGTAGTAACTGGAACAAAGACTAGCAAAGTAAATAGAAAACATAAGAAATTTCTATGTTGTTGTATATTATGATTCAATAAAACTATAATTAATAGAGCAAAATATCAATTTTCAATTTTCAAATGTCCTGAAATTATATAGTGGTGATGGTTACATAACTTTGGAATAAACTAAAAACCACTGAATTATACATTTTAAAGAGTGAATAATCATGGTATGTGAATTCTATCTCAATTAAAGAATCAACTTTCAAAGTCAATTTTTATATCTTAAATACTGGTCAGTGTGTTTCCCAAAGTTCTTTTTCTATAAACACTACACTCATGTGAAGCTACTATCTAACTTATATAGTCCAATAATTCATGAAGAATGTTACATGGTTCATATTACCATAACAATAGTCAAAGAAAGCAAAGTTGTTTTGGTTTTTTTTTTGCGGTACGCGGGCCTCTCACTGTTGTGGCCTCTCCTGTTGCAGAGCACAGGCTCTGGACTCGCAGGCTCAGCGGCCATGGCTCACGGGCCCAGCTGCTCTGCGGCATGCGGGATCTTCCCGGACCAGGGCACGAACCCGTGTCCCCTGCATCAGCAGGTGGACTCTCAACCACGGCGCCACCAGGGAAGCCCCAAGAAAGCAAAGATTTTCGACCCAAGTTCTTTAACCATAAAATTCTATTTCTATAAGAGTTTATAGTAATATGAAACCAAGCAGTCTAAAGCTTATAGAAAGAAATAACCATATTTACATGAGTAAAGAACTTTCCAGAGAAACATATTTTATCATATAATAACATAAAACAGCATACAGATCTTCATTAAAAGTTTCAATGAAAATATCTAGATGAAAATTTAATTACTGTAAATTAAAAGAGCAAACCTACCTGGTTCTGTCATCTGAGATTTTTGTATTAGGACATCTCTTATTTTCTCCACCCACAGGTAAAGAATACTTTCACCAATATTCTGTCTAAACAAAATTCAGGGGGAAAAGGTGTTATTAAAAATTTCCTTCTCAGTGGCATGGACATATATACACTACCAAATGTAAAACAGATAGCTAGTGGGAAGCAGCCGCATAGCACAGGGAGATCAGCTCGGTGCTTTGTGACCACCTAGAGGGGTGGGATAGGGAGCGTGGGAGGGAGACTCAAGAGGGAGGGGATATGGGGATATATGTATATGTATAGCTGATTCACTTTGTTATAAAGCAGAAATTAACACACCATTGTAAAGCAATTATACTCCAATAAAGATGTTAAAAAAATTTCCTTCTCAAATTCAAGAAAATATAGACATATTTACAATCTAAGAAATTATATGCAATCTAGCTGTGCCTTTTTTTGGAGCAGGGTTGCTGTGCCGTGCAGCTTGTGGGATCTTAGTTCCCCGACCAGGGACTGAACCCAGGCCCTTGCAGTGAAAGAGCTGAGTCTTAACCACTGGACCACCAGGGAATTCCCTAGCCATGCCTTTTAAAGAGGAATTTATAAAAACATGCAATTTACTAACATTTGTGGATGAGTATTTAATACATCAACATTAAAAATTCCAACTGGCTCCCAAATTAAAATTAACATTGCTCACTTAAAATAAGTAGAAGAGTTGCAACCAAAGAGGGGAAAGAAAATTTCTGAACTTGAACTGGATGAATTAAGATAGATAGAAATATGATTTAGTTTCTGTCAGCGAATATAATTGTAGTATTGATGCCCAGTCATTGCTTGCTTTTCTAAACTTTTTGAACAATTTCAAACCACTTTTTTTATGTACTTATTTCAACAAATAAGAATACAAAGCATTTGAGAAACTCCCTCAGAAAGCCAATTTACAAGACTTAAAAGACAATCAATGGAAAACTTCATATTCTTATTTTGTTTTGGACAAAATATTCTATTGCCCAAATTGATTCATTTTGGTTCCAAATAGCTGTCTGGCTGCCTCAGATAATTAAATCCATCTCAAAGGCTCACTGAGAAAAAGAACATGTCATAGTTCATGTCCATAGCATTATGTTAAATGATGGCAACAGCAATAAAATAAAGGCCCAAGTGTCTACTCTTAGGAGATGACACTAATTTTAGATAAGTTTTAATAAGTGTGTTTAAAGAAATCATCATACTACTTCATAACACCTTACCTCCTTCCTCTAACAGTTGCTCTTGAAACCATCATCTTTTTATCATCACTCATCAGCACCCAAAGGAAAATTTCAAAGCAAGCATACAGAAGAAAACAACACTGTTTTCAAATAATTCTGTATCCTCAAACCCTCCATCTCACGCGTAACTCCTGAGTACTAAAACAATCCTCCGTGTACTTTGGCAACCTGTCTTATTTAGAGAGAGCAAAAGTCAGTTGGAAAGGTTTTAAAAAACTGAGAATGTTGGTTGAGTTTCTTTTAAACAATTCCTATCCCCATCCTCTCTTCTCAATAAAAGATTGAGAGGTATACAGACAGAGAAAGGTAAAATGTACTGAGTATATACTAAGCCCAAAGTACATTATATGTATCAACACATTTAATGCTCATAATTGTCTAATAGAGTAGGTTTTATTTCCCCATTGTACAGATGAGAAAGCAGACCTAGAAAGATCAATTAACTTGTCTAAGACAATAAGCAGTAAGAAGTCCAGAGCCAGAAAGTGAATGTAGACTTACTCCAAAGCTCAGGTCGCCCACTGTGTTTTGCTCTCCTATCAAGCAGCTGTGTCCTTAGGCAAGTAAGACACTTGAACTCTGAGTCTCAGTTTCCTCACCTATAAAACAGATTTACAGCATCTTGCCTTACTTTACAAAAGTAGTCTCTTTTCAAGTGGACCTATCTTAATTCACTCAACAGATCTTTAAGGGCCTTGCCTATACACCAAGTACTACGTGCAGCCCTGGGGGTATGGTAGTGAATGAGAAAATGGGGTCCCCTGTCTCAGTGTTTACAGTTATTATCCTTACAAATGTATGGTTTTATATGTAATTCTCTCCATCCCCTAATCTCATTCTATTTAATTCATCACATCATCATCACCAAAAGTAGTAGCACTAATATCCAGTGTATATTGAACACCTACTATATAAGACGTAGAAAATGCTTTGTTACTTCACTTAATCCTCATTCATAACCACCCTTTGAGACAGGAAAATCATCCCTCTGTGAATATATATATATTCACATTCAGATTTGTTGTTATTGTTGTTAGGGGACTATTGGGGGCAGGGGACGATGGAAAATACCTTGGAAGAATTTTCACAATTAATAGGGAATTTTTCCTAATAATAAAGAAATAAAACCTTAACTCCAAATTTCCTCTCCTCTGGCCCATGGCTTCCTGCAGAACAATATACAACAGCACTCTGCCCATAATCAATTATTAAATGCTTCCTTCTTCCCTAGTATTTAACTAGACTTCCTGAAATCCATTTTAAGGAACTTCTAGTGGATGTGAAACGTTTCCTAAAGAAAATGAAAATTAAATTATTTGTTCCCTTGGACCCCCAAATTTATCACTGATGGTGGTTTGGGTGTTTTTATTGTTGTTGTTATTACTGCTGTATTTGTGTTTTCTCTCATGACAATAGTTTGTTCATATCTTTTTGATTCAAGTATAGTTGATTGTTCATATCTTTTAACTACAGACTAGGATTTGGTGGTTTTCAAACTTTTACCTTCGCTGTAATGAAATCTCTCACAGAAACAGACAGAAGCTGTAGTCTTCCCTCCTATGCCCTTCTTCCCCTCACCCAATGGTCCTTGAGGAAGTCAGCTGAATCCTAAAAACTGGTACAAAATCTGAGAACTACTCATTATAGGGTGAGATGCTAAGCTTTTATTTATGAAATTAAGTTATGGTAAAGTAGCTGAATATAAAAAGCCTAGAACAAAATTTGTTTCAAACTGAATAAAAGATCAACTTGGATTAAAAACTGATATTTTAGTTGAGATATGCTGCGATTAAATACACTTACATAACTATTATCCAATTCAGAATGATCCAAACAGAAGGCAAGTTACTTATGACTCTTGTTTTACTTGTGGCTCTAACTTTTGTATCTTTAATCTTCCAATATTTATATTTGTTGACTTAAGGGTAAAGCTATTCACTACAATGTACTACTAAGTTGTGTGACCTAGACAAATCACTTGATCTGAGTTTCCATCATCTCATTTTCAAAATGACAAAACTGGATGAGATGATTCTTCTAACAAGAACAACAAAATTGAAAGCTGCTATTATATAGTGCTAAAATACATTACATGGATTATGTCACTTAATCCTTACAATGATATTATTCTTTTATCCTCATTTTACAGACGAGAAAGAGGTCACACTATTTCAAAAACTGACTCCAGAAGCCTGACAAAGACAGCCTTAACATCAGCTTGACTAAACTTCAGACAGGCTGAGCTTCCTGACTCTAGGTCCTGACCTCTCTTCCTTTGCTCCTTTGGAATTATGGACATCTTTTTAGAAGTTCTGTCAGTGTTAGAACCTAGGAGTGTCTTTCTCAAGGACCTGGGAGCCATTCTTTTGAAATGTAGTCATCAAGGAAGACAGTGCCCTATCTCCCAGTCTCTGTTGGCTGGTAGGGGCCTAACTCCTGATGAGCCACAATTTGCAAACACAGATAGCCTAATCACAGAGAAACACACTTGAAAACTCAGGAAGAAACTTAATGTGCTGGACACTCTCACTGATCAACCTCCCCCCAGCATCCCCCAGTCCTTTTCTACAGCTCATCCCAGCCCTTAAAAACCATACTGCCTTTTGTTTCAGGAAGTTGAGTTCAGACTGAGTTCTGCCTCTCTCCCCTGTTGCAATAGTCTTGAAGAAAGTTTTCCTCTCCTGTTTAATTTGGTCCGGTGCACTTTCTGCTTTGACAAGCCTCACTCTCCAAGTTCCAAATCTAAGACTTCATGATACATCAGAATGTGGAGAGCTGTGGGAAATTAATCATTTCCTTGGATTTAAATTAAATAGTGTTGAAATGGACTATCATAAATTCAAATTTAAAAAAATTTTAATCCTTTTCATTTTCTCTTAACACCAATTAGTATAATGTTCAAAGTATCTTTAAATCTGTTATTTACCTTTTGTTTTATTAAACTATTTTCATATATTCAAAATATCCGTATGTAAAATGTTTAAACAAAAATAAGGTATGATAAGCAAATGAGTCTACGTCTACACAATCACCAAATCCTAGCTTATGTGCCTAAGTGCTTCTTTAACTGACCGTTCTTCTCCCTTGCATTCTTGTTGCCTTCATAAAGGTTTCCACTATCTCCCTCCTAGCTACTGACTGCTTTTCCTACGGTGTCCCTCACTTCAAACTCTTCACAGCCCACCCTCCACACTGCCACACAAATCTCATTACATCACTCCCCTGCCTAAAATGCCTACAGCCTATAAGATAATGCCCAAACTCCTTACCAGCTTACAGGTTCTTTTTTCTTACACCTACCTCAATTTCTATCCCCGGCATGTTGAACTATCTGCTGAACTCTGAAGATGCCAGGTTGCTTCGCACCTACATGATTTTGCTCATGCAGTTCCTTCTATCAGTGAAAATCTCTCCCCCTCTGATCACCTGCCAAACACCACACCCAAAGGTCGCCTTCAAAATGGAACCCTCCTTTACAACCTCACCACATGCCCAGAGACCTCTAAAAACAATAGCACTTGGTCCAAACCTCTCAGTGACTGTCACTATATTGTGTTGGTACACAATTAATCTATATTAATTTTTAAATTCCAAACTCGTAACAGAGTGTGAGCATATAGGAGATACTCATAAAATATTTACTGGAAAGACTTAGTTTTCAGACTTTGTCCCTCCTCACGTAAGAAAAAACATAGTTCATCTTCTTATCTAGGCAAAAATAAAATTTAGCATTCAAAATGATGCCAAATAAATATGAAAATCTCGGTAATGTTACAATATTTAGAACATAATGAAACTATAAACATTAAGAACTATATCCATACATTTAAAATGTTTAATTTTCAATGACTAATAGTGTTTTTCACTTGTTGCCCCCTGCTGGGATTTTATGGGAAAATATGATTAAAAGTTGTCACACAAAACTTTTAAAAACTGAATGTATATTTCTATTTAGACCACATGTGTGAAAATACTACTATTGGACTGGGGTTATTTTCAAGTGTTTTTAATAAACAAGACAGTATGAACCATATCCTATCTTTAGAACAAACTCCTTTGTTATTTCTGATCCTTCCTAATTCTCTAGTAGCTCAAGTGAACTACTTAGGGAGAACAGCAAGTTGTGTCCTTATAGGAGGGTATCTCTTAATAAAGGGGGGCACTTTGGGGGCAGAAAAAAGGCAGATGGGAAGCCATTTCAGAGTGCATGACATTGTGCATAGATAGGAGAAAAATCTAACTGATGAATATGATTAACAGGATGGAAGCCAAGTGTTGGAAGATTTTTCAAGAAGAGAAAGTGTTCAACACCACCAAAAGTTACAGAGGTCAAGTAAGATAAGAACTGAAAAATGACTGTAAGATGTATAATTACGACATCACTGGTGAGCAAATTTGCAGTATATTTATCTTATTCTACTTTATGGGGGAGATAAATTGGTAAATAGGCATAAATAAAAGATTACAGAAAGAAGTTTGTTGGGGGCACAAAAGTTGGAGTGGCCAGTAAGGTCAGGGACAGGTATCAGAAAACATTTCATTGAGAAAACATGTAATATTTATATGCTGAGGATGATGGAATCACTAAATGGGGGCTTCTCCCATTGATATGTCCAGTTCTTGGTTACTTCCAGAGTCAAGTGTAAACCTAGGAACTCAAGGAAGACCACACTTCCTCTAGGAAGGAACAAATAGAATCAAGTCCATGAAGACTTAGCATTTTTAAATTAAGTATTCTGTGAGGAAAAGAAACCTGGTCTAGATCCCACAGATACAAAGGGGGTTCTCTCACTGTGCCAAATGGGGTAGCCACCTACAACATGTAAGACGATCCTTACCAGTTCCTGGATTACAGTAAAACTGATGTTCCAGAACATTAATTGTATTAATGTAATTAATTTACATTTGTATTAATGTAATTAAATTAATGTATCTCATTAAAATTAACCCAAATCACAGAAATATCTTCTCTGGACTACTTCACTAGCCTCCTGATATCCCACATCTGTTCTTGCTCCCTTCCAATCAGTTCTCACCCAGAAACAGAATGGTGTTTTCAAAATGAAAATCTTATCATGGCATCACACCACTTAAAACTCTTCTCTGCTTCCCAAAGGCCTTAGGATAAAGACAAAAATCCTCAACATGGCCTACAGGATTCTCCATAATTTCCCCTGCCTACCTTATTACTAGGTCATTTTCCCACCATGTTCCCTTCTCTCCTCCCCTCTCTTTTCCCACTTAATACCACCATTACGTTGTATCTTGACATGTGCCAAACTCATTGACAGAGAGCCTTTGCACATGCTGTGGCCCTTCACTGGAGTTATCTTCACTTACGTTACTCAGCTCTTAAGTCAAACAAGCCATCCCTGACCTCCTAGACTAGGTCAGGACTTCTTTCAAACTCAATTAGTACTGTATATTAATATCTTTCTTTTACAGAACTTATCACAGCTGCAGTGTGACATTCATTTTTACAGTGTTATGAGTAATATCTCCCTTACCTGCAAATCTTTCTTTTACAGAACTTATCACAGCTGCAGTGTGACATTCATTTTTACAATGTTATGAGTAATATCTCCCCTACCTGCAAATTCTAAATGAAAACAGGGACCATTTCTGTTTTTGCTAATTATGCGTATCCAGGATCTAGTACAATGCCTGCCATATAGCATTTGTTGAATGAATGAAAGAGTGAAAAATACGGTATATCAATAGACTCTCTGTCTTATGGCCTAATACAAGAACATTACCATTAAAAATATATAGTAGTTTAATGAATAATTATGCTTAGGATTCTGCTGTTACCAGTTTCATTCAACATAGCCTATGAAAATAGCAAAATAAGAGCAGTATCTCTGAATTTACTTTCACAAGCTGGCTAAGTGTCTTCATAGCTATTAGTTCTAAATAATAGTGTATTTTTGTTTCTAAGCAGAATTCGTATCAAATGTATCTATAAAATTACATTATACAACCAATCTTTCAAGGATTTTTCAAGTATATTCTTTTTGTTAATGGAAAAGCAGCTTAACAAAAAGTTTAGAAAAGGCCCTAACATATCATGATTCCAACAAAGGCCCACAATAGAGTCACTCATAGAATTTTTTTTAATCGTCCATCACTTACATATATATTTCCTCAAGGCTATTCGATAAATCTGCACGTTCTTGCCCTTGAAGCCAAGGAGCACTAAGATTAAATACAACAAAATAAAGAAGATTATTCAAAGATTGTGTTTATATCTCAAAGAAAAAAACTGATTAATCACAAACTGGTTTTATTTAACTTTAAAAATTTTTCTATTTTCATCAAAATGTTATGTTATGTTGTATAAATCGATACAGTTCCAAAATGCTTTCATTGGCATTAATTCATTTATTCCTCCCCCAAAACCATGATGAAGCCAACACCATTATTATTCAATTAAAATATGGCTTAAAAAACAGGGGAGTTCATAGGATATCATCAATCTGCCCTAGTTTACCTAAGTGGCAGAGGAGGTTCCAGAATCTAAATTTCCAGATTCGCAGTATTTGCCACACTATCAGGACTTCCCAATTTTTTCTAACTGGTGTCTCAAAAACAACTCTAACAAATAAGTCAGTTGCCACATGACTGTAAAAGAAATAATCAACTTTTTCTGAAAAGGGCACAGATGTTTACAAGCATTCTATAATATCTTTCATTGTCAATAAAAATGAAAAATTACAGAACCATGAGTAATAGCAAATTTTACCGCTATGGTTTTAAAACACTCATACAAAAGACAATCCGACTGGAAGGTAAAAATTTTAGTAATTGAGATTTAATGCAATTCTGTCTGCACAGGTTTACACAGCTTAGTAGGTCAAGCAGGCAAGCTGGATCAAAGGTTACTTGCAATCAACACGTCATGACTCATTAAGACTGCGCTTGGGCTGCTGAGATGGCTCCTCCACAACAAGGGCAGGACAAGCACCACAAGCACCATGGGTGATTCCCGGAAGGCAGGCCGTCTTACACAGAGGCATGTCAAAGAACTGGCGAGGCCAGCAGAACCAGGTTAGGAGCAACTCTATAGGCCAAGGTTTCTAGATTGCTAGGTTGTCTAGAGAGGAAGATTTCCCCCCGTCTCTAAAGACAATTCTGTAGCTATTTTACCCACTATGGATCCTCTGATTCTCTTTTATACTAAGTGGCAAACTTCAAAGTGTTTTTACATAATTTAATTTTTAAGTTTAAATGCTCTACATCAAGTCCAAAAGGTGTTTTTAATTTCTATATACATTTTGATAAGGTAGTCTATATAAACACAATGTACAGTACAGAGAAACAATCTTTGAAAAGTATAATCTTTTTATAAAAAAATATAAATATAGAAATATTGCTTACTTCAGTTGATAAATAGGTGGCGCTGTACCTGGGTATTCATTCGGTAGCATCACCTACAAAGCAGTTTAAAAACAAATCTGCTTATACTTCATCACGGCTCAAAAATAACAACATTCATAAAGCCAGTCATTGGACAGATTTCTAACTTGCCAAACTATGAAACAAAACCATTGTTTTGTTAAATTTCAGGAGAGAATTCCCACCTCATATTTATGCTTCTGCCTTAAATATGTTGTTAAGATGATGCCAGTCTTTTAAGAAGGAGATCATTATTTGCAGAGAAAGTATAAAAGCAATGAAAATTAGAAAATAAGTGGGGAGGACAAAGACAAAAGGAAAAGAAAAACTGAAATAGGGGCATTATACCCCAACCCCAAATGAAAGAGCGGCATTATAACATGTTCCAGATATTTTTCTGAAGAAATTAAAAAAAAAAAATCCTACCAGACACTATTAAATACATTAAATAGCAAACACTTAATAGAGAACCATGCACATTTCTTTTCAAATCAGTATTACTATAAAAACAAACACTGACAAAAACTCAATTTGGCATCTTTTATGTTGGAAGTATAGGCAGTCATCAAAGAATAAGCATTAAAATAGAAAGCCATAGCTGATGTTTTCATTTAGCCTAACCACAACTGATTCCCAACTAACAAAGAAATGAGTATCTACTCTATGAACCATCTAAATAACTAACCTATTCTTCCTCTTAAATGTTAGTCATCTTCCGAGGTTTAGACTCTCTTCTATTAAACGTACTGGATAGTGAAAGGAAGTGAAACCCAAGTCTGCCAATGGTACATTAAGAACACTTAAATAAATAAAATAATTGGGAGAGAAAAGATTGAGACCATCTATGAAAGCATTACTTGAGAGTGATCTGAGATTTAATTACCCATACGTTTAGATCATCAGTCGTTAACAAAAGCCAACAACAAAAAGACTATTCAGAACAAGTCACACAAGAATAATCATTAGAGGAATACAATAGCAGTCAATCATACAAGAGTCAACACTGTAACTGGAAAATGGCTGTAGAGAAGGGCAAAAATACCTGCAAGCAAAGGGTCCATTTGGGGTCATCTATATCGTCGCTAATTCTAATACAAAATATTTTGGCACAGTCATCAATGACACACCATTCCTCGCCATATATAGCTGCCATTGCTTCAATTTCCTCATTCTGAAAGAGGTTGATGGGGGGAAAAAAGTCAAAGAATGCACCGACCCTAAAAACCTGAGTTTTCCTTATTGCTTTATAAGGTATTTATATTTAACATCACCAGCTTGGACGAAGGATCCCTGAATGAACGATACCAAACGTTCTCAGCAGCCGGTCACCATGTTCTACTCTCTGGGTACCAGACACAATTGCAATGACTGGCACCAGCCTTGCTACTACATCACTGTGCTTTTGACCACTACTGAGCCAAAATATACATGCACTCCCATATCCTGCAGTGAGATTTACAAGTGAAAGGATAAACATAACTCCTCTGCTCCACCTTCTCCTTTTAACAGGCAACCCCACGCCCCCACTTCCTGGTGGCACTGTTACTTATTATATTCGCCCTGTATTACTACTGGCTATCTCCTTCGTTGTTTCTGTTTTGAATTTGGGCACGAGGCTGGGCGGTTGTTGGGGTTTTTGGTCATCAAACCCTCGAAACATTTCAGAAATTACTCTTTTGGTTTCGGCTTAAAGAAGAGTAAAACCGGACCTAAAGGTAAAAATGGGAAGCAAAGTATACATTCAACTTTGTATCGTCTCATTTTGTCCTCATAGCGCATTCGGAAAAGCTTTAAGAGTGCCCACGTGAGCCACGCGCTGGGGAAAGCTCAACGCCAAGAGGAGGAAGGTTCACTGATTCCAGGATCTGTGTTATTATTGCCCGTTTTGCGAAAGCAGAAACGGATCTTAAGTGACCTGTCCAAGGTGACCCGGCGGGGACAGGGCGGGGAGTAGAACCCGGGTCTCTGCCTCCGGCCGGGAGCTGCTCAATCGCGTGCTGATGGTTGACGATGACAGCGCCCAAGGCAGGCCCAGGGCGCCGACGCCCGTAAGCGGCCGGCCCGAGAGCGATCGGCTGAGATCAAGCGCCGGGGCAATGGGAGGCGGCGGAGCGAACGGCGCGGCCTCCGGCGCGGGCGGTGCGGGCGAGACCGGGGGCGGCCCCGGACAGAGGCCCCTCGGCCGAGGAGGCCCGGAACGGTGAGGCGAGGCCGAGCCGACCCTAAAGGTCGGCTCCCCGCCGGGGCCTCACCTGCCTCTGGTCGCTCCCTGTGTCCCCCTCAGCCATGTGGCCCCGGGAGCGGCCGAGCGGCCACCGCCTGCCTAGGTCCGGAGAGCGGGGTCGGGCCGCTGCGACTGTGAACCGAGCGCGGCCAGCAGCGCTGCCCGCAGCGCGGGCCGACCCGGAACCGCAAGCCAGCCACGCAGCGCGGCTCGCATCTGCTTCCGGGTTGCGGGCCAGGTGGGGCTAGGGGGCTAACGGCGCCGGCACTACCGGCGCCAAAGCTTCCCAATCTGGCATCGCGCCCGCCTTTCCCCTCGTCTTCTGCAGGGCCCTGGGGACGCCGTGCCGCCCAAGCGGCGGCAGGAGGGTGTCTGGGCTCTGCTCCTGAAACCCGCCGGGGTTTCTGCTCGCCCACAGCGCAGTCGGTGCCATCGGAATCCCCCGGAGACATTGGGGAGTCAGCTTCACCGCAGCGTCCCAGGAAGGGACTCACCGCAGTCCACAGCCCAAGACCCATCTTTGCATTTCAAGGCACGGTGTTTTTGTTTTAAGTGTTTTAAGATATTTTGTCTGATTTGAGCAAGGGTGGGTTTGATTTACCAAAAGCAGGAGAGCAAGAGAGAGCAGAAGGCAATTTTGAAAGCGTGCAGAAAAACTTAACTCACTCGCCGTTGTGTTGCGATAGTTTTCTTTGGTGTCCTTGGACATTTTGTCTGGGAGCATCTTTTGTTCAGGACGCTAGTTTTGCCAGTCAACATGAAGGTCGTTGTTTCACTATCCAAAAAACTTGAATAAGTTTGTGTCATTTCTCCCCTGTCCCCAACACGTACATTCCAATACATTGGTTGACATCTGTAACTTTATTTGAGATACCTTAATCAAGTCGCTTAATGTCTTATTCGAGAGGCATTTTTATCACTTCTTGCCTCACTTTCTTCACACACGCACACACACACAAACTCAAAATAGTACATCTTTCCTTTCTCCCGTCTTCCTTAATCATGGGCATGTTTTATTTCACCTTTAAAACACTTGCCTGAATCAGAATTCCGTAAATAATTCCACCCGAATTACTTTGAAGAGATCTTAATAAAAGCCTTGTGGATTTATTAATTCAACAGACATTAGGTTCTTACTGTGCTAAACTTTGGAAATGCAGACTTAGATGTCGTGCATTGCCTTTAAGAAGCTAAGGTGTGAGGGAACAAAAATAAAGTATTTAAATGGACTAGAATTATGTCCTGTTAGTATCACAAAGAAGGCCATCTATTCAACTTTTATTGGGCTTCTTGTTTCAGACAGTGTTTGAACCGAGTTATTGAAGAAGGGGTAGAGGTTAGATAATTGAAAAAGGAAGGAAATTGTTCCAAATGGAGAAAAAAATATTGGCAGAAAATTTGTGGCCCATTTAAGGAACATCCTGCATTTCACTGCCTCTGACATCACAGCTGTCAACCTCCTCTTGTCACATGGCTTGCTTAATCCCTTTATGATTGTCTCCATAAATCTGCACACGTGCACTCATTTTGGTTCCAAGAGAGGACTTGGAGGACTTTAGCCCTCTGTCATGTCAATAACATCCCCTCCCTCCAATTATTTGGTTTCGACAGTATATTTTTCATCTTGAATACAAGCAGTTTTAAATCCCTCTTTCCAACCAAGTAGGGCTCCGAAGTCCATGCGCAGCCAGTCCATCACGATATTTCTCTTCTTGGTGAGGAATTTGCTTGGAAGTGGCGAGAGGTTTGGTCACTGTGCGTCTCCAGGTTGCCTGAAACTTTCTGCAGTTATCATCCTAATACTACCTACATGTCCATCTACTGACCTCTACTGACCTCTTCTTATGTCTTACAGCCTCTGTTGCAAAAAACAGTGATTTTCACCCTTAAAAAAAAAAAAAAAGCCATAGAATCCCTTCTTCAATGAAAGCCTATGTAGAACAGATTAGGTTGTTCTGGCTGAAATAGTGGTGATGGGCCTGAAGTCCCAGCTATCAATACCTAGCAACCCTGCCTCCCAGTGGCCCCTCAAAGACGTTCAACCCAAATTTGAAAACTACCATGTTAAAATGTAACAGAAAACAATGCATAGCACAATTTAACCTTCTAAACAAAGCATAATATATTTAGTTTATTATACATAGCACCTCTTTCCTTACCACATATATCAACCTATTCTATTTTACCTTCCGCAGGTTACACCCATGGTTTTCTATTAATTCCTGTTTCTTTACCGCTAGAGCCTTTAAATCTTCTTTTGAGCTCAGATTCTAGACAGAAATTAGTGTTTCTGCCAAAGTGCACAAAGCAAAACCTTCCCTGTTTCTCTGAATGCAGAGAACCCTGAATAAGGCTCAAAACTCAGATTATACAAAGAGCACTTTGGAAAGAGAAGGAGAGAAGTAATTACTGCAGTAACGAGTGTGGCAGACAACCTACATTTTGCAAAACATATTGGAAGAAAGCAAGACTTTATAGACAATTTAGTTGAAAAAGACTACTTAATACGAACTTTGAGCAGTTAAGTAGAGGCTGAGAATAGTATGCAAATAGTAACATAGACTTGGATACAAGCGGGGTATCTAAACAGATTCTGCTGATTTCCACATCCCTTTACCCAAATGGTTTACTAGGTATCTTCCTCAAACTTGTTGTGTTCAAAAGTGAGCTCAATGTCTTTTTCCCTAAATCTGTTCCTCCTCCTATCTTCCCTATTTCCATAATTGGCAACCGCTGAACCCTGCATCAATAAATTGTCCAAGCTTGAAACCTGGGAGACATACTATACGCCTCTCTTTCACTGCCTTCATACACAGACAGCAAGTTCTGTTGATGCTGATTCCTTAATATCCTTTACATTCCTCATATTCTCCTTCCTAGTCTTTCTGATTCTGTCTGGACCCTCTTAAAATTACCCTCCTCACATCTGCCAGAGGAATCATTCAAAATGCACAAGTCTGATGTGTTTTTTCTCCTTTGAAATCCCATAGCTTGCTCCCCATAGCTTTCATGGTAATGCTTAAACACCCTAACACACAAGGTGTGTTCCTGGCTACCTCTCTAATTTTATCTCCCCTGTTTTAGCCAGACCAGCCTAATCTATTTTTTTAAAGCTTTCTTTGAATTTCATGGCTTTAGAAAAAAAAGTGTGAAAACTGCTATTTTACACCATAGACACTGTGTAGGGGGTTGAGTTAAGATATACAAAGAGGCCAGTAACTAGAGTGAAAGAAGAGAACGGATCTGTTTAGCAATAGATGGACATTGATCTCTATTTCTGTTTCTGTGCCAGTACCATACTGTCTTGATTACTGTAGCTTTGTTGTATAATCTGAAGTCTGGGAGCCTGATTCCTCCAGCTTCGTTTTTCTTTTTCAAGATTGATTTGGCTATTTGAGGTCTTCTGTGTTTCCATACAAATTGTGAAATTTTGGGGGGGCTTCCCTGGTGGCGCAGTGGTTGAGAATCTGCCTGCTAATGCAGGGGACACGGGTTCGAGCCCTGGTGTGGGAGGATCCCACATGCTGCGGAGCAAGTAGGCCCGTGAGCCACAACTACTGAGCCTGCGCGTCTGGAGCCTGTGCTCCGCAACAGGAGAGGCCGCGATAGTGAGAGGCCCACGCACCGTGATGAAGAGTGACCCCTGCTTGCCACAACTAGAGAAAGCCCTCACACAGAAACGAAGACCCAACACAGCAAAAATAAATAAATTGTGAAATTTTTTGTTCTAGTTCTGTGAAAAATGCCATTGGTAGTTTGATAGGGATTGCATTGAATCTGTAGATTGCTTTGGGTAGTAGAGTCATTTTCACAGTGTTGATTCTTCTAATCCAAGAACATAGTATATCTCTCCATCTGTTTGTATCATCTTTAATTTCTTTCATCAGTGTCTTATAGTTTTCTGCATACAGGTCTTCTGTCTCCTTAGGTAGGTTTATCCCTAGATATTTTATTCTTTTTGTTACAATGGTAATGGAACAGGATAGAAAGCCCAGAGATAAACCCATGCACATATGGTCACCTTAGTTTTGATAAAGGAGGCAAGAATATACAATGGAGAAAAGACAGCCTCTTCAATAAGTGGTGCTGGGAAAACTGGACAGCTACGTGTAAAAAAACTGGACAGCTACGTACACTCCCTAACACCGTACACAAAAATAAACTCAAAATGGATTAAAGACCTAAATGTAAGGCCAGACACTATAAAACTCTTAGAGGAAAACATAGGCAGAACACTCTATGATATAAATCACAGCAAGATCCTTTTTGACCCACCTCCTAGAGAAATGGAAATAAAAACAAAAATAAACAAATGGGACCTAATGAAACTTAAAAGCTTCTGCACAGCAGAGGAAACCATAAACAAGACAAAAAGACAACCCTCAGAATGGGAGAAAATATTTGTAAATGAAGCAACTGACAAAGGATTAATATCCAAAATTTACAAGCAGCTCATGAAGCTCCATATGAAAAAAACAAACAGCCCAATCCAAAAATGGGCAGAAGATCTAAATAGACGTTTCTCCAAAGAAGATATACATATTGCCAACAAACACATGAAAGGATGCTCAACATCACTAATCATTAAAGAGATGCAAATCAAAACTACAATGAGGTATCACCTCACACTGGTCAGAATGGCCATCATCAAAAAATCTACAAACAATAATTGCTGGAGAGGGTGTGGAGAAAAGGGAACCATCTTGCACTGTTGGTGGAAATGTAAATTGATACAGTCACTATGGAGAACAGTATGGAGGTTCCTTAAAAAACTAAAAATAGAACTACCATACGACCCAGCAATCCCACTACTGGGCATATACCCTGAGAAAACCATAATTCAAAAAGAGTCATGTACCACAATGTTCATTGCAGCTCTATTTACAATAGCCAGGACGTGGAAGCAACCTAAGTGTCCATCGACAGATGAATGGATAAAGAAGATGTGGCACATATATACAATGGAATATTACTCAGCCATAAAAAGAAACAAAATTGAGTTTTTGTAGTGAGGTGGATGGACCTAGAGACTGTCATACCTAGTGAAGTAAGTCAGAAAGAGAAAAATAAATACCGTATGCTAACACATATATATGGAATCTAAAAAAAAAAAGGTTCTGAAGAAACTAGGGGCAGGACAGGAATGGACTTGAGGACATGGGGAGGGGGAAGGGTAAGCTGGGATGAAGTGAGAGAGTGGCATGGACTTATATATACCAACAAATATAAAATAGATAGCTGGTGGGAAGCAGCTGCATAGCACAGGGGGATCAGCTCGGTGCTTTGTGACCACCTAGAGGGGTGGGAGGGAGACTCAAGAGGGAGGAGATATGGGAATATATGTATATGTATAGCGATTCACTTTGTTATAAAGCAGAAACTAACACACCATTGTAAAGCAATTATACTCCAATAAAGATGTTAAAAAAAATAGATGGACAGCTACGTGGTATTAGGATGATAACTGCAGAAGTCTTCAGGCAACGTGGAGGAGATGCGTGTGGTCAGATCCCTCAGAACTCTTATGTAGAAGAGAAATGACCGGCTGCACCAGAATTCTATGTAGGGTGGACTTCATCTTTTTTTAAATAAATTTATTTATTTTATTTATTTATTGTTGGCTGCATTGGGTCTTCGTTGCTGCACACAGGCTTTCTGTGGTTGCAGTGAGCGGGGACTAATCTTCATTGCAGTGCGCGGCCTTTTCGTTGTGGTGGCTTCTCTTGCTGTGGAGCAGGGGCTGTAGGCACATGGGCTTCAGTAGTTGTGGCACACGGGTTCAGTAGTTGTGGCTCACTGGCTCTAGAGCTCAGGCTCAGTAGTTGTGGCGCACGGGCTTAGTTGCTCCTCGGCATGTGGGATCTCCCCAGACCAGGGATCGAACCCATGTCCCCCTGCACTGGCAGGCAGATTCTTAACCACTGCGCCACCAAGAAAGTCCCTGTAGGGTGGACTTTAGAGCCCAATATGGTTGGAAGGAGATGCTTAAAACTTTTTGCTTAAGATTAAGAAACACAAACTGTCCAAACCAAATACTTGGAGGAAGAAGCAATGTTAATTAGATCACAAAGGACCAAAGGTCTCTCTTGGTACCAAAATGAATGCATATAGAGAGATGACATGGGTATGATCCTTAACAGGTTATGCAAGCAGTGTGACAAGAGGGGGTTGACAGCTATGATATCAGAGGAAGGGGAATGAGTTATTTGAATGGAAAAAAACCTAACCTGGAAGTACATACATCTTCTGATGGCAACAGCGATGGCTGTCACATCAGCGGTGAGGAATTAAGCCTGTGAACAGTTCTCCACAAAACCTACTTCAGCCTACATTGATGGTTTGAATGGGGCTCTTCTAAGTATTCTCTAGAACCTTGCTAAATACTTAAGGTGAGGTCTTTGGAACAACAGCATCATGTTGTCTGAGAGCTTGTTAGAAGTATGGAAACTCAGGCCTCACCCCAGACGTATTGAATCTGCATTTTAGTAAGATTCCCGGGTGATTTGTATGCACGTCAAATTTTGAGAATCTTGTGTGATGACCATGGGAAAGCACTTCTCATATCTTGGAGAGTAGGGAGAATAATTGACTGAGGGCCCCAGCTACTGTGCTCTGAGATCTATTACTCTGTTTGTCCTAAGACCGTACTTACTATGGACTGCTCTCAGGCAAGCACATGGCAGAGTTACTCAAACAGACCCATTCCTGGGAGGTAAGGCACTCCTCTGATGGGGGACTTGGGCTCCCGGGCTCCCAAAGTCTTGCTGAACTTTCCTTAGATTTGCTGCCACATAGCCTTCCTTTGTCCCTTCTTTCCCTCTCTCCCTCTCTCCCTCTGCTTAGGGTCAGATTTGCATCAGTTTGATGGCCCTCGGAGCATCTTCAGGCTCCTTCCTATTTTCTTCTCACAGGTATTTCCCCCAACAAATTTCTTTCACATATAACCTCATGTTGGCAACTGTCTCTCCAGGACCCAGACCAGCAGAATTCTGCCCATATAGTATTGACCTGTAGTCATATCATCTGTTTCTAAAATATTTCTCTTAGGGAAATATGTCCTTAAAATATTAAAGAAACAAAACACAAACACCTTGGCACACTGTTAATAATGGGTCTTTCCCCAATTCCCTGTGTTTGTTGTGTGCTTCCAGCTAATGAAAGCCAATGTGGCAGATACAGGCCAGTGACTGCTGAGGCTATAGGTTCTGTTTGCGCCATTTGTTTGTGTTCTGGCCAACGGTGTGACCAATTATGGCCAAGAAATGTGATAGAGGTACAAAGGAAGATTAACATCCTGGATACTAAAATATAAGTTTTAAGGAGAAGCTCTCAAAGAAAAAAAATAGTCAAGGAAACAGAGTCAAGATTAGCAAGCTACTGGGGACAGGAGGAAATCCTTGAATATTTTAATGTCAGCATAAATAAGTAACACTGCAGCCTGGGAAGATTAGCTGGCAATTATACACACAGTAGTAAGAAACAATAATGATGCCAGGCATTTCCTGACTTCAGGAGATTTGAAGGGAGTGAAAGGGTGACATCTAATGCATAATACTAGAGCTTATCTACTGTGGAACCGTGCAGTAAGGATCCTGGTACAGCACTAATCCGGTTAGCACCCCCATTTCAGAAATAGGCACCCCTATCTCCTAACAAGGTGTGCAGCCATTTCAGTGGTCTCAAGGGCAGTGGCTGATTTCCCAGTAGCAGTGTGTCCAAATGTGTATTCCACAGAAATTCATCCCTCAGAGTAGAAAGTGGTAAAGTGAGGTGTTCTGTGGTCAATCGAGTTTATCATCTCTGTGCTAAACACACTTCATCTGATAATTTTATGTTAAAACTCTTAGAACCCTTAATATTCTAATGTACAGTATAAATCTCCAAGAGAGGACAGTAACATCCAGCTTTTCAGAAAGAATTTAACTAAGGAATCCTCCCCCCTCCCTCCACTCCCTAAAATCTTTGAGCAGTAGAATTATTAGAACACATTTTGATAAGCATTACCCCCATTTAGCATCATAATACCTCATGTTCCCCTGGTGGTAGAAGTTAAAGGTCACTGTTATATCTATTTCTGGTCCAATATTAAGAAGGACCTGGGTCCCCACTTGCCAAAAATACTAACTCTGGCTTTTTGAAATTTTTTTTTTTTAATTTTTAAGAAACCTCTTCTTAATGAATGAAGTTCTAGAAGGGATAGTTACCAGTTCTATTGTTAGTTAGTTGTTAAAACCTTAGGAAGGAATGAGTTGCAGCCAACAGAGAAGAGGATTGTGGATGGGAACTGGAGAAGGATGAACCTAGGGCTCAGCCTTCCTCAGCATCAAGCATAGTGACCCTGTCTCAGCGCAAGGCTCTTCCACCTTCCACCTCTTTACCTCTTACGTGTTACTTCAGTTTTGTTTTTCTGTAAAAGCTTTCCTTGGATTAAAAGTAGAAACAGAGAATAGGATCAGCTCCCTTCCCTTACCCCAAAATCAGTGTCCAAAGGAGATGATTATGTGAAATTTTAAAATGTTGGATAAAAATATAAGCTGTTTGTGGGAGTTCCCTGGTGGCCTAGTGGTTAGGATTCCAGGCTTTCACTGCTGTGGGCCAGGTCCAATCCCTTGTTGGGGAACTGAGATCCTGCAAGCCGTGCAGCACAGCAAAGCAAAAAACAAAAAACATGTATATGTATACGTATACATACATGTATATGCTACTTGCTTTTCCCTCTGATGGGAGTGTTTTTTCCCCGATATTCAAATGCCATCCCCTTACCTATCAGCCTTCAGCACACTGACACCCCTTCATCAGATACTTCCCCAACCACCCTAATTAAAGAATTTCCCCCTCCTTGTTGTTGATGCCCGTTAATCAAAGATCACCAGGAACACACTGCAATCCAGAAAAGTGGGACTTGTTGATTGATGCTTCCAGCAGGAAGCAAGACTGCACACCTTGACGAAACATGGGACATCTCAGTAAGAAAATCATACCATGGGGCTTGTTAAGGGTTTGGGAAGGAAGTGGGGTTTGCTCTGGATTGGGGGCTGTCAGGAAATGGGAGTAATTGTATGACTGGGTATCTTAATGAACTTTATCTTGGAAGCAGGAGGAGCAGAGTGGGGCTAACGCTGCAGTTAATGAAGAAGCAGCATTCGCTCATGTCAGCTGGGAGGGGGGCTATTGGTGATTTTGGTGGTTGCACAGTGTTTTGGTTTTGTCCCTGCTCAGGCACGATTACAGAGTAGTAGTTTTTTGTTTTTTTTTTTTTGCCTCCATCACAGTCACAGAGTGACTTTCTCTCATGTTGATGTGCCGTAAAATTATGTTTGACCAGAGAACACCATGGTCTAGCTGTGAGTGCCAGGCCAGCTCCGAGCAAACAGGTGATTTTTTCTTTCCCACTTTGTCCCGTTATCCTGTGTAATTTCTTCAAATTATGAATCTATATCCAACAATGATCTAACTTATGTATTTGTAATATATGTGTGATCTGTCTTCTTCATATGTATGTATTAGCTGCAGGAGGACATGGTATCATGTCATTCATCACTGTGTCTCCAACATCAAAAGCAGCCCCAACATATGGTAAATACTCAATAAACATTAGTTGAAAAGATGCATAACTTAGATGCTTGGGGGAAGGGCTCATCTGGAGGTGGGAGAGAGTTTCATGAAGTGAGGAAGTGTGAAGCATATGCCTGATGCTGCAGCCCTTTCCAGTCACCTCTGGGTGTCATGTCAGCCTGTGTCAGGATGTCTGATCTGGGAGACTGGGAAACTACTACCCCTAGAATGAATGGCCTTCTGAATTCTAACTGAAGAGCCCTGTGAGATTGCGCGATGTTAAAATCTGATTTTCCCTGTCTAGATGGGTACAGAAGATATTCTAGTCCTTGTCAATTTGGATTGTTATTACCCTCAGGAAGTAGAACCTGAAAAAACAAGGTATTTCAGTCACCTTCATACAATGGTCATCATAAAGTGTCTTCTCAGAGCTTTTGTTTTAATGTCCAGGCCCAAAGTTCACCTACATAAGAAAAGAATGTTAATGAATGTAACTCTTTTTCCTCTCATTAAAAGGCTCTGGTATATTTCGAAATCATTCTGATGCTTTCAAAGAAAGCATTCCAGGTAAATGTGCTCTCTACTGCAGTTAAAAACTTAAAGACTTAGTGACCATTTTAAACAGTAGTCTTGAAAATGTTCATTGAAACATCTTCCAAAAGGTAGCAAAATTTGTATGTTGGAGGCAATAGTGATGATTTATGTTCGTATCTACTATTTGCATATTTTACTACCACCATTTTTGTTTTTTTGCTTTTAATATCTTCTTATACATTTTCTTACTGAAAAGTTACCGGTTTCGTTAAATTAAGTAGATATTTATTAAGTGCCTATTTTGTGCTACGTGCAAGACAGTATGCAATTCATTTCCAAGAAAGCTAAGAAAGTATAAAGGAAAAGACATAATTGCCTTTTTCAAAACCTATTTTCAACTATTTGTGGCACGCTGAACTACCCTAACTAATTTGCGCTGAAGAGATTCAGAATCATTAGCCTTAGCCAGGCACTGTTGAGCATCATCTTGTGAACTTGATATGGGATACATTTAAGCTGCAATAGGTATATAGTTTCTTCACATACTTTGGAAGGGCTCCCGAGCCAGGATGCTTAGATAAAAATACTGACATTGCCAACAATTAGCTGTGTGACTTAACAGCTCTGTGCCTCAGTTTCCTTGTCTGTAACTGAGGATGACAATAATAGTATCTATTTCATAGGATTATTGTGGAAATGAAATGATCTAACCTGTGTAAAGGGCATAGTATATTGCCTAGCATATAATAAACATTCAGTAAATATTATTATTTTAGTATATGTTATAGTATGTTATGTTACTATTGTATCTTACGTCTTATTGTATCTTAACATCTTATTGTATGTTACTACTATTTTTATCACAGTTTACGGAGCTGTATAAGTAATAAACATTATAATGTAAACATCTTTATAATACTTCATACAGAAAACAGTATGAAGTTTCACTATCTAACTTAGTGAATATTTTTTGCTGCACACTGTGTGGAAGATTCATCATGCTTGCTGGAAATATCAGTATTAGTAAGACACAGTTCCTACCATTAAGGAGTTCCCACCTGAAGCTCAGCAACTGCTGGTGGGAACAAAACTCTAGACCTCTTATCTATTTTTTCTAAATGTGTATACAAAATCAGTTTTTCCTCTTTCCCATCTCCCGTGACCTATGTTGGTTATCTAAAGTGATTCTTGCCACCACTCTAGCTCTGTTAACCCTGGTCCTTGCACGATGCCAAGCAAATCTCTTTGTCAACTCCTCATTTATATACCCACTCTCTCTCTCCTTCCCACTACTGCTGTTTTACAATTACCCACCACTTATTTTTAAGCACATCACCTGGTTTATGAGTATTCAGGTCCTAGCAAGATAGCATAGAGGTTAAGGGCATGAGCTTTAAAAGTATAGTATTTGGGGACTTCCCCAGTGGTCCAGTGCTGGAGAATCCACCTTCCAATGCAGGGGCCATGTGTTCGATCCCTGGTTGGGGAACTGGGATCCCACATGCTGCGGGGCAACTAATCCCGTGTGCCACAACTGCTGAGCCCACGTGCCCTGGAGCCCGCACACCACAACTAGAGAAGAAAACCTGCACGCCACAACTAGAGAGAAGCCCGCATGCCACAACAAAGACCCAATGCAGCCAAAATTTTTTAAAAAATCAATAAAATAAAATAAATAAATAAAACGAATGGGTTATATATTTTAAAAAACTAAAAAAAAAAAAGAGTATTTGATTCATATCCTGACTCATGTACTAATTGTGTGACCTTGGACAAGTTATTTAGCTTCTCCAAGTGTTAGTTTCCTTACTTATGAAATAAAGATGTTAATATCTATTTTGACAGTTGTTAAACAATTAAATAATGGGGCACCTAGCATGTGTCTTAGCTTTCAGAAAATGGTTTCTAGTATTACTAAAAATACATCTATGATGTTTCCTTGGGTGCATAAGTGGAAATGGTCTCCAACAGGAAAAGGAAGAATAAAACTACTGAGAAAGAGAATAGAGTGACTCATATCACTTTATGGAGTGTCTGTAGCTATGGAGGAAGACAAGAGTTATCTGCATAACCATTTCTGGAGTCTAATGAAAAGAAGGGATTCTCTCTTCCTATAGAGTATGTGGACTTAAAGCTTTCAGGATGAGGTTCTAAAATGGAATTTTGACTACAGTGTCCACTTGTACTCTTTTTGATAGAACAAATTAATTAAATCATCCACAAAAGAGCACATTGGTATCTGAAATGGAATGAATGTGAGCTGGTCAACAATGTGTCAGTTAGGGTTTCAGTAGGATACAAATGGCACACTCAGAGGATTTGACTGAGGGGAGATTAAGAAGGGATGATTTACAGAAGAATGGGCAAGGTTAAGGGACCCCACAAGAAGCAGCCAGGAACTATTAAGTGCAGGAAGCTGCTAAGACCCCCAGCATTGAAGGAATAGAGTTTTGGAGGCCAGCAAGAGCTGGAGCCATAGAACAGGGACTGCCCAACAGAAGCTGTGGCTATAGAAAATGCAGCCACTGTCAGGAGTTCTTGACAAAGGGTGGGGGTAATGATGTGATAGATACCTCAACCTCTCTCTCTCTTTTTTTTTTTAATTAATTAATTTATTTTTGCTGTGTTGGGTCTTCGTTTCTGTGTGAGGGCTTTCTCTAGTTGCGGCAAGCGGGGGCCACTCTTTCATCGCGGTGCAGGGGCCTCTCACTATCGCGGCCTCTCTTGTTGCAGAGCACAGGCTCCAGATGCACAGGCTCAGTAGTTGTGGCTCACGGGCCTACTTGCTCCGCGGCATGTGGGATCTTCCCAGACCAGGGCTCGAACCCGTGTCCCCTGCATTAGCAGGCAGATTCTCAACCCCTGCGCCACCAGGGAAGCCCCTCTCTCTTTCTGTTTACACTCTCCTGCTGGTTCCTCTCATTCTGTGAACCCAGCTGGAAGCCAGAGTGCCAGAATGCTTAGCCTTCCTAGGGGCCAGACTCCCAGGACACAGAGCACAGTAGGGGAGGGCAGAGAATGGATTGAAAAGGCAAATGGATAGTCGAGAACAACACTCTGTGAAGCCTGCCTGAGAGAACAAAAACGGGAGGATGGAGTGATACAAACCACTTTCCAGCCTCTCCGTAAAACCTGCAGGATAATCCTCTACGCTCTCTCCTGCAGTGACCCTGGGGACCGTGCATTGATGATGGTGTGTTCATGTGGAAGGAACCCGGGTCTGAACGGCTACTCAGAGCAGAGCCTCCATCCTGACCACACTGCACTGTAACAGGAAGCCACTGAGGCTGCAGTATTGTTTGTTCAGATGCAGATGGCGGGAGGGGGCTGTGGGGATGATTAATACTGATGACCGCCAGGCGTACCTCTTGGGTTTCTTCTCTCTACTGAGCTTCTGAGCACTTACTCTTTTTTGTAAGCATCTATAAAACATTTACAAGTGGACATTTTAGATGTCATCTTAAACTCAATTCACAGCCAAATTCAAAACCATCCCCAAACTACCTTGGTTTCATACATAATCTGCCCTTCCAACTTATTTATTCATTGAGTTGGTCACTTCAGAATATTTACTGAGTCTTGATCTATGCCACAATGTGGACTACATATTAAAGATATAAAGAAGACACAGTTTCTGATTTCAAGAGGACCATAGTCTGATGAAGGTAGATATGTAAACAAGTGATTTATGAGAATGTTACATGTACCATGGTTACATGTCAGTTGTTTCCTCTTTTTTACATCTCACACAAGATGAGTCACAAGTATTGTATCTCACGTGCTTCTTTGGTAATAGCCACTTTCTCACAGTGCTATATTGGAATGATAACCAATTCCCCTTGCAGCCTTCACTCTCTCCTCACTCTAGTTCTGCTTCCATCCTTTTCTCATTCTAGTTCTAGTGTACTCCTTGCATACTATCTCTAGACTACTATTCCTCATATGCTACTTTGTTCAGGAATAGTGTAAAGTTTTATTTTTTCCTATTGCATCAAGTCTCAGTTCTGCTTGGCTTTCAAAGACCTTCAGGTCAGCCCTCCTAATGCAGCTATGTAATCCTATCCTCTAGGACTCTCCACTGTAACTGCCGACCCTGTCTATTGTTACTCCACCTTCCTTTCCATTCCCACTACTCACCTTAGTTCAGTCCTTCTCAGCTCCCCCTAGACTACTGCAGTAGCTTCTTAGCTCATTTTCCCGACTCCAGACATGTCCCTTTCCCACCCTGCTTCCTGCCCACAGAACTCTGTCATTGCAGGATCACTCTGATCATATCAGTCCTCTCTTCAAAAGCCTTTCCATCTTCCACAGTTCCCATCTCAGTAAGTGGCACCTCTGTATACCAATTGCTTGTACCAGAAACTTGGGCGCCTTCTGTACTCTTCCTTGTGTCACACCCCTCTCATGCAGTCCGTCATCAGGTTCTTTCTGCTCTGTCATGTATGTCTCTTGAATCAGTCTCCTACTACTGTTCTCCATCCTCAAAGTCCTTGCCAAAGCTGAGACCCCTTGACTGGACTACTCAACAGCCTCCTAACCTGCCTCTGACTTCACTGGCTTTCAGCCCATTCTCCACCTCGCCACTAGACGTAGCTCTTTCTCTGATAGAGAGCTAATATTGTGACTCTCCTGCTTAAAACTCTTTGGGGTTTTAACTCCATGGCTTTGAGGATGAATCTCAAACTACTCTGTGACACATTGTAAAGGACCCTTCATGACGTGGCTCCTTGTATCTCTCCAGCCTCATTGCTTCATCCCAACTCTCTGTTCCGCACCTTCTCTTCTGGCTTTACTGAACTATATCCACGTCCCCTGGGAAGGCACACGATCAATTGCTCGCCTGCAGTTCTCACACGTTACTCGCTCTACCTGGGATGCTCTTTCCTCCCCCCTCCTACACGTTGTTTTGGACTCGGCTCCCTTGATGGCAGTTACCATGTCTTTCTTTTTCTTTACCTTGCAAGCACTCAGTACAGTGCCTGGCATTGGGTAGGCTCTCAATTCAGAGAAGCTAAATAGATTGTTCATGGTCATACAGCTGGTTAAGAGGCAGGGAGCTGGGATTCAATTCAGGTTTCTGATTCAAAATTTTATGCACCTGCCACTTTACTACATTGGATAAAATATTTTAGACATAAAGTCCAAGTTCATTCATTAATTCAGCAAATATGTATTGATTTCCTACTATGTGCCATTCACTGTGTTAGATAAAGGGGGTGAACTGCTGAACAAGGCATTCCCTGCCTTCAGTACACTTCCAGTCTGATGAAAGATACAGACAAGTAAGGACGCATTTGTGGCACAATGTGACAAGTGTTATCATAGGAGTAAGTACAAGGTAAATTGGAAAGCCTAATGGGAGGGACGCATAGCCCAGTCGTAGGCGGTCAGGGAAGGCCTTTGGAGAGAAGTGATTTCTAAGCTCAGACTGCATATAGAATAAGCCTCGGCGAGATGAGGAAGCTGGGGAAGAGAGTTCAAGGCACAAAACAACAACGTGGGCAAAGGTCCTAAACCATCAGAGACTGTGTCAGTACGGGGAACTGAAAGTTGTTCACAACTGCTGAAGTGTAAAATACCACGGCGATAATGACGAGAGCCGAATCGGGACACTGATGCGAGGAGTTTAGACTACGTCCCGAAGCAAGGAAGAGGCAGAGTAGCATTCTAAGCAAGAGAATTAGTTGATCAGATTGAAATTTTGGAAACATCCTCTGACTACAGAGTGAAGAATAGATTAGGGTTGAGTGTGGGGCAAAAGGTAGGATGGGGAGAGTGAGGAATAGAGACTAGAGTGCTTGCCACTGAGAAAGAGAACAGAAGGAGGGCTGCCAGTTGGGGGAGGGGACAGGAGCAGCTGCCCTTTTAGTTGTAACTGAGTTTGATGAACTGGTGTGTGGTCAGGAGCTCAGGAGTGATGTTGGGACCCAAGTTACAGATTTGTGAGATGTGAGCACACGGAGGCTTAGGAAGCCATGGGGGCATGTGAGCTCACCCAAGGAGAGTGTGAAGAGAGGTAGAGTTTAGGGCAGACCTTGCAACATTCAAGGGAAGAGCATTCTCAGGAGGAGGGAAGGGGTCACTGGTGTCAAATATGGCCAAAGGTCAATTAAAGTTAGGACTTGTGGGCTTCCCTGGTGGCTCAGTGGTTGAGAGTCTGCCTGCCGATGCAGGGGACACGGGTTTGTGCCCCGGTCTGGGAAGATCCCACATGCTGCAGAGTGTCTAGGGCCGTGAGCCATGGCGGCTGAGACTGCACGTCCGGAGCCTGTGCTCCGCAACGGGAGAGGCCACAACAGTGAGAGGCCCGCGTACCGCAAAAAAAAAAGTTAGGACTTGTAAGGGTTCATTGGATTTTGAAACATGGAGGCCTTTGGTGTCCACAGGGAGCAGGTTCAGTGGAGTAGTGGGAGCAGAAACTGAGTACAGAGAGCAGAGGAGATGGAGAGCCAGCGGAGACCATGCTTTCAAGCAGTTTAAC